CAAGCAACCTGCCTGCCTTGGCCTCCCAAAGTGTTGGGATTATAGTTGTGAGCCACCACACCTAGCCAACATGTTGCAATATGTTAGAGATCTGACCGCTACCCTTAGGAACCAAGTAATGGAAAGGTCCTGGTTGGGCTAGCTATTAATGCTAAGTTTCATTTTAAAGAAATAAGAGATTTCTCCCAAATTCTTCCACACGATTCTGGCTATTTCTTCATGTAGGGCTTAGTATTCTCCAGAATTTTCCTATAGAATCTGCCAAGGTTCTTCTCCCAAATGAGGCAGTCATGGAAAGTACTTAGAATGGAGCCTAGTTTGTGGTAAGCACTTGGCAAATGAGCAATTATTATTATAATCTTCATTAATTTAACAAATATATGAGCAGTGTATCACTTATGGGCTACATTTGACTGCATATAATAGAACCAAATAGGTTAAACCTCTATATTTGGGTTAACCACCCCTGTTACATCCCCAAATGAACAGATGACAACATCTCACATAATATCTCACCACCTTCATCTAATAACAAATTTGAAGGCAGGTAGCCCAGGGCTGGAATGACAACACACAATTCCTTCTCCTTCTTTCTGTTCAGCCGTCCTTAACATGGTTTTCGTCGTCTTTCGTCTTTGTCACCACATAGGCAAATAGCCCTAATCCTTGTCACTTCTAGCCACCCTAACCACATTCCAGGTAGAAAGAAGGAGGAAAAGAGGAGGAAGGGACAGTTCTCTTTGCACTGTAAATGTTTCTCAAAAATGCCCTAGCCTATCTCATTGGCCAGGATTGTCTGACTGATACGTGGAGCTGCAGGGGAAGCTGGGTACAATGCTACCCTAAACAAAACCAGGATTCCCTTGGTAAGGAAGAGAAAAATGGATATAGGGTAGGAAACTAGCAGTGTCTCATCCAGCTCAGACACTGAGAAGCACAGTGCCAGCCCTCAAAAACAGGTGGAGGAAAGAGATAAGCGAGAAATTATAACGGTGTAATAAAGATCATGATAGAGGTGTTATTGTGGATGTGCATAAAAGGGACACGTAACTTGTACTTGAGAGGTCAGGAAAGCCTTGCTGAAGGAAATGATAGCTGAGACCTGAAGCACGGGTAGGAGTTGGCCAGGGAAGTGTGAGAATGCACAGATGTTCAGAGATGAGACTGGGTCTTTTCTTGGAGCACAAAGAAGTTTAGTGGGGAACAGAGTGCATCATAGCGAGCAGTGAGGTTGGAGGTGAGCAGGAGACAGAGGATGGACTTCCTAAGCCACTTTAAGGAATCTGTATCTGTCTTCAAGGCACTGAGAAGCCACTGGGGGAGCAATTTTTTTTTTTTTTTTTTTTTTTTTTTTTTTTTTGAGACAGAGTCTCAAATCTGTTAAAAACCTGTCACCCAGGCTAGAGTGCAGTGGCGCGATCTCGGCTCACTGCAACCTCTGCCTTCTGGGTTTAAGCGATTCTCCTGCCTCAGCCTCCTGAGTAGCTTGGATTACAGGTGCCTGCCACCACGCCCGGCTAATTTTTGTTTTTTAAGTAGAGATGGGGTTTCACCATGTTAGCCAGACTGGTCTTGAACTCCTGACCTCAAGTGATCTGCCCATCTCGGCTTCTCGAAGTGCTGGGATTACAGGTGTGAGCCACTGCGCCTGGCCAGCCACTGGGGGCTTTTAAGCAGAAATTTTTCTTGCCGGTTTTGAAAACTGGAGTGGGAAAATCATTCAATCATAGCAATTATCTTTAAGTGCCAGTAGATTACCTATCCCTTCTTAATGCACCAGGAGATATACAAATGCACCTCAGGCAAGTCCTCTCCCCTTGGACAGGGGTGCCCCCAGCTGACCATTGCCTTCAGAAGCTGGAAGCCATGTTTGTCTAAACCTCTTGTTAACGTTTTGAATTTCCTTCCCAACGTAATTCTATGGGATAAAATTAGGCTTGTCCTGGAAATGCTACCCCAATGAGGAGGCATCACTTTCTATCTTCTTTATTCTTCAATGTTTATGCTCAATAATAAAGATTCTTTTTTAAGGGTCAATCAAGTTCATCAAGGGTATTCTACAAGGCTAAATACACACAGAAATCATGAGTAACCTAAATAATCTCTAATATGTTTGATTAGATCACCTAACTCTAGATAGAATGTTCATTTTTCTTGGTTTAAAAAGGGCTCACACCCTGATGTAAATGACGAGTTGATGGGTGCAGCACACCAACATGGCACAAGTATACATATGTAGCAAACCTGCACGTTGTGCACATGTACCCTACAACTTGAAGTTTAATAATAATAAATAAATTAAAAAACAAAACAAAAAAAAAAAACCAACAGCAAAGAGATAAAAGCAAAAAAAAAAAAAAAAAGGGCTCACACATTTGATTAATCTCCCAGTTTACAAGATTACAAGTTTATCACTCCTGGACACTGGCACATTAGCAGGGACTACTATAGCAGCACTGGGTACATTATCACTACATTTCCCAAACTAGTATCTTCAGTGTACAACTTATTATTAAAACAGGATCTTGCTCTGCCACCATGGCTGGAAGGCAGTGGCACAATCATAGTTCACTGGAGCCTCAACTTCCTTGGCTCAAGAGATCTTCCCGTCTCAGCTTCATGAGCAGCTGAGAATACAGACAAGCACCATTTCAAAACATTTTTTAAAAGACTAGGTCTCACCATGTTGCCCGGGCTGGTCTCGAACTCCTGGGCTCTTGATCCTCACACCTCAGCCTCCCAAAGTACTGGGATTGCAGACATGAGCCACCACACCTAGTCCAGAGTACAACTTATAAAAGAATGACATATTAGAAAACACCCTTTTTATTACTGCACTTCCTTGGTACATTTCAGTCTTAAGTTAAAGCAACTTTTCAAAGACAAGGGCATTATATTTTCCAGGCAGCTGAAAACAGTCATTTGCAACCCACTCTCCACCCTATTCCTGATTTCCTTCTCTATTTTTTTTTTCATAGAACTTTATCACATTTTAGCATACCATATAACTTACTGCTGTCTTCCTTCACCAAATATAAGCTCTTCAAAACCAGGCATTTTTGTTTTGCTGAGTGATGTAACAATAGTGGTTAATAGTGCCTAGGAAGGCATTCAAATATTTGTTAAAAGAATTTGCAAATGTATCATCATAGGTGTTTCTTCATATGGCTGTCTGTTCTGCCAAGGAAGGGCCAAACTCACCTGTGAACTTTCGCACTTTCTACTTCTTTTGTGTGTGTGTGAGTTGCTGAATCCTACCTATCTTTCAGGCAACAAAAGCGAATCAACAAATTGTTCTAAGGCAGTAATTACACACAGGACACTTTTTCAGCAGGCAACTCAACTTTCAAAAGCAGTGTCATCCATCTTCCTTCATTAGTTGAGGTTTTAAATGCCATTCATCACACTAAACCTATTCATTTATACTATCACTCCACACTGCCACCATTGCACATTTTTCAAATGTTACACTGGAATGATTCAGGCACTCTACTAACATAATTGGATTAACTAGACGGTATTTTGGCCGACCTGAAATTCTGGAAAGACTGTTAATGAATCCTTTCCAAGGATCTGAATTCCCTCCTGAGCAGCAGAATCAGGGAGATCTTCGTCTTTCTGTTCTTGTATCCATCTTTTCAACTCACTTATCTACCCAAAAATTACTTACTCAACTTTATATAAGCCATTTTTCACTGTGGACCTCTAGGAAATTTTTGTTGAGACTAGACTAAAATCTCCACAAAAAGTGTCTGACCTACAGTAAGTGCTCAAAAAGTTTTGTTCAAAGAATGGTGGGCACTTTATATCTTTATCACTCATTTCTAAATACATAATCTGATGGTGGTCAATGTACACAGGCCTACCAGAGACCTAGCTGGCTAATCTAACTGGGCCAGAGCCAGGTGGCTTATTTAAATCACTATGGTGGGCAGAGTCCTAAATTGGCTCAAGATATCCCTCAGACCATGAATATGGGACTTGGTGTCTGTCGTTTTAAAAAACCTGGCAAGAGATTTGCGGATGTAATTATGATTCTCATCAGTTGACTTTGAGTTAAGCAAAAAGATGTGGCAGGCCTAATCACACAAGCCCTTTAAAATCATTTTATCTGGTTTGTAGCATAAAGGGAAGTCAGACAGATTCCAAGTATGAGAAGAACTGAACGCACCATTGCCAGGCCCTAAAGATGGAAGGAATCATGTGTCAAGAAATGTGGGTAGCTTCCTGGAGCTGAGAGTGGCACCTGACAGTCAGCAAGGAAATGGGGACCTCAGGCCCATGATGCAACGATCTGGCAACTCAATGAGCTTAGCAGCAGACTCTTCCCCTAGAGACTCCAGAACAATGCCCAGCCTGGCATTCAACTTGATTTCAGCTTTAAGACCCTAAACAAAAAAAAGGTCAGTCAAATCTGCCCATCTGGCCTACAGAACTGTAAAATACTGTTTGTGGTAATTTGTAAAGCAGCAATAGAAAACTAATAACATAACCATTCCATACTAGAAAGTGGTTTTTTTTTGCAAGGACCAAATCCTGCAATTACAGCAGGTTTGTTACTAACTCATTTGCTGTCATGCAAGCTCTTCCCTGCTTTTCCCTTTCCTGAATTTCTGCTTTCCTTTTCCATGACCATGGAAATACTGTCCAGGAAAGAATTCCACCAAAAATTAGTTTTTACATCTGAAAACAAGATCAGTTAAGGTACTAAAAGAAAACTTCTTTGGACAGTGTCCAGCTTATAATACTGCCCTTTTATAATCAACCCACAAAGATAAATCAAGGAATAAACTTATCAATAATCAAAAAGGTCCACATCCATGCCAATACATTTATAAAAATAAAAAAGTACAATACAAATCAGATATTAAAAGTGCATGCAAATTCTCTTATGAGAACTGTTGTACAACCTGACAGGATACTAAAAAATAAAAACTAAAATTTCAATAAATAAATAAAAAGAGAACTGTCTCAACATAGAAAACAATCAAATAAATATGTACACTGAGTCAGAAAATTATTTTAATAGTTACAAAACTTTTTTTTTTTTTTTTACAGAATCAGTATAAAATAGCAGTTGATTTCTCCATAATTATCAGAATTATTTATACTTGAGGTCTTGGCTAAGTGGGGCTGAAATCAACAAAAGGTCTTGGACTGTTGGCTCAGAAATCATCCTAGGAAGCCCGCCCTGTTGATATCTGTCATGCTTAGCTCTTATGAGATGACCCAGTCCTTTAAAAAAAAAAAAAAAAAAAAAGAATCTCTCTTTATTCATTCTTTGGAGGCTTGAAGTGAATTCGGCAGCGTTCATTAAACACCTAAAATATTGAAACAGAAATAAAAGTCATTGAGTTATCCTGTATAAATCAGGCCTGGAACTAAATTCAATTTAGTATACTTCAAAAGGTTATTACCATTTTTGTCCTAAGTCAACAGATTTAGGAAACAGAAGAGTTTCCTCACTAGTCCAAACTGACTTATGAGGTGCTGAATGCACAGAAGGCCTTGACATGTATTTACAAGACAATTCTAATATTTTAATAAAATTTAAGTTACTTAGGGAAAAAATCATCAAGAGCCAGGTAATTTAGTTACTAGCAAACATTTCAACTTCATATTCTGGACATTTTTTAAACAACTACACAAAAATATCTAAAATAAGTTTAAATAAAGAATGCTCAATAACTAAATGTCCACATGGAACTATGTTAAATAAAAATTTGGTATGGTTATTCAATGGAATACAAGCAAGGTTAAAAATAATTTATGCTCTGATTTAAAAAGATCTCCAAGATTATTAAGGGAAAAAAACAAAGTGTGAATAGTACACTTTCACTTGTGTAACAAAGGTAGAAAAATACACACACATAAAATCAGAAAAGGTGTATCTGAAAGCATATACCATTTTTCAGAGAGAAGGGAAAGAAGGAGGTGGCTGAAGGAAAGGGACAGAAGGTAGAATTTTTACTGTATATTACTATTTAAAAAAATTTTTTTAAATATTTTTAATATTAAAAAAATTTAAATTACATGTCAAAACTTTAAAGTGTCCAATTAAAACAATTCTGAAATTGAAAAGAATTTCTTCTCAGAATGTACCCCCATACATCATTAATGTGAAGAACAAATCACTTTTCAGGTTAAAAAAAAACAAACTACCTATGTTGGCTGCCATTGACTATTACAAAAATAAAAGAAAAATCGAAACACAGAGGTTGTGAGGTATTGTTATTATTTTATTTCTTTTTATTTATTTATTTTTGAGATGGAGTTTCACTCTTGTTGCCCAGGCTGGAGTGCAATGGCGTGATCTCAGCTCAATGCAACCTCCACCTCCTGGGTTCAAGCAATTCTCCCACCTCAGCCTCCCGAGTAGCTGGGACTACAGGTACCTGCCACTACACCCGGCTAATTTTTTGTATTTTTAGTCGAGACGGGGTTTCACCCTGTTGGTTAGGCTGGTCTCGAACTCCTGACCTCAAGAGATCCACTCGCCTCGGCCTCCCAAGGTGCTTGGATTGCAGGCGTGAGCTACTGCGTCTGGCCTACTATTCAATTTCTTAAGCTGAGTGGTGGATACATTAATGTTCATTTTATTAATATTCATTAAATTCTACGTGTCACATATCTTTGGCATATGCATCTCACAATTAAAAGAAAATATGTAGAAATTATATAGACTCTTTCTAGCCTTTTTACAATTCATCTCACTCATTTCCAGCCCTGATATTTCCCTGAAATTCCCAATCAGACAAGAGGGAGGCTTCAATTTAGTGGCCTGGACACACTGGTTGGGGTGATATATACAACTTGGCTGAGCCTCTCCAAATCCTTTTCCCAAATGATTTCCTGTCCACTTCTGCTGGCCCATTGCACCAGAGCACGATGGCTACATTTTCCTCTTTTTAAAACAAGTAAGGGCCTCATCTTCTGTGGAGTGGATAGACCATATTTTCTTTAAAACTAATATTAAATCCAAAGTAGTTCACTCTTCCCACCACATTTTACATACATCATAAACTTCTGCACTTGCTGTTTCAAGCCAGATGTTTCACTGTACCCCTTCCCCATCCAATCCCAAGAGTAAATATGATTTCTCCAGAGAGTAAAAATGGGAAAATATTGCCAAATCCTCTCCAGTGACAGACACCTTATCATGTTGGTGGAAAGGGCAGGAATAGGAAACCTTGGCAAAGAGGATAAGATAGAGAAATGTGATAAAGCAAAGAAAGTCAATTTGTATTTTGCAATTTGTTCATGTCTCAGCAAGCTGGTACATTCTGGTTTTGGTTCAGCTAACCTCTCTTATAGGCATACAGCTTAACAACATTCCAGTAGTTAAATTCAAATGATAAAACAGAATTTTCAGTACATTTTCTCAGATTTAATAGATTTTTGCCCTTTGTAAATCTTTTAGAGTTTTAGAGAGGGGTAAATGGATATACTTTTTCAGAAAACTAAAGTCAGAGTTTTATGAATTTTGACTATATGTAAGTTTCTGGGATCTGGTCCCCTAATCTTGTTCCTAACAAGAACTATGCAATGATAATAAGGAGCTTGTAAATCTATGAGCAATCAAAAGCCTTAATATCAGATACCAGTAAAACTACATATAATAACAAGTTTTATGATCAGATAAGTTAGAAGAGAAGCAACTGTATAGGTTACCTAATGATAGGAAAACTTACGGAAAGTAACTGAGCTCAAAAAAGCTAATTTTAACAAATAGCCTCCTTGAAGGTTCTGAGTAGTTACTCTAAATGTCAACTATGCCTGTAATTAGTTAGGAGACATAGAGAATGCCTCTAATGCTGTTATGATGGCAGCTCATTTAGTTCTATCATATGCTTATAAAGCTAATTTTGTTTTGTTTGGGTTTTTTTTTTGGAGATGGAGTCTCACTCTGTTGCCCAGGCTGGAGTGCAATGGCTTGATCTCAGCTCACTCCAACCTCTGCCTCCCGGGTTTGAGCGATTCTCCTGCCTCAGCCTCCCAAGTAGCTGGGATTATAGGTGTGAGCCACCACGCCTGGCTAATTTTTGTATTTTTAGTAGACACAGTGTTTCACCATGTTGGCCAGGCTGGTCTTGAACTCCTGATCTCAGGTGATCCACCCGCCTTGGCCTCCCAAAGTGTTGGGATTACAGGCATGAGTCGCCTTGCCAGGCCCAGTAAAGCTAATTGTTATAAAATGGCGCTAATTAGATGCTAACTGAATCCTTCTCTCCCTCCCCCACCCCCCAAAAGGTTACAACCCTCAACTGTAAATGTAAATGAGTGATCTCTACTCTCCTTACAGCCTCAAGGCACTCTTTACTCCCCTCCCTTGGTTTCCTTTTGTTAGTTCAGTTTCCCTGCTACTTCTTTCCAAACACCAACGTTATTTTGTACCTTCCAGCTCCTGTCATTTACCACTTCTTCAACATTCAGTTCTGACTGCATCCATTTCAACTGCAAGAAAAAAAAAATTGAAGTTATAAAATTTAAAGAGCAAGAAAAAAATTGAAGTTATAAAATTTAAAGAGCTAAAACCACACTCATGTTTATCCAACAAAACCTGCTGCTGCTCTAGTATTTTTCTCTGTTAATGGCAGAGTTTGGAAGCTTCTTTGACACAATCAACTTTCCCCATATCTAATCAATTGCTAATCTCAAACTTTGCTGCATATTCTAATCACCTTGAGAGCTTTAAAAAAAAATCCCAAGGCCAGTCAGTTCAGAGAAGACATACAAAATGCCAGTCTTAACTAATGTATAAAGAAATGCAAATTAAGCCATAATATGACAAAATGAGTAAGTCTGATAAAACCTAACATTAGTGAAGGTATGGGAAAATATATACTTCTATATATTCTTAGTAAGAGTATAAATTGTTACAACTTCTATGAAGGGCAATTTGTCAAGACTCACAGGAAATGTACATTCTCATGTCCTTGAACCCAATGATTCCAGTTCTAGAGATTGATCATACAACTACAGACTTGCAAAGATAGCACAGAGGAAAAAAAGGACAAGGAGGTATAAACCTGATTTGAATAGAGAATTAAGAAAAAAAAAAACCTCAAGGAGGAAAGAAAATATAGGTGGAAGTGATCTAGAAAGGCATGCGCTTCCTCACACCTTAACCATACAGTCAGAGGTCTCAGGCTAAAAATGCCAAGTCTTTAGCTTTCTTTACAACAGCCAACCTAATTACTCTGAGAGAAAAGTAGCCAATTCCATTGCCAGGCCCTGAGAGCAGGGCTCACAATACTCCCAGTAACATTTTGTTAGAGGACTTGAAGGTGAAAAAGCTGGCTAGTTCCAGGCAGAAGGCTTGAAAATATTCAGGAAAATGAGGAGAAAAAAGCATGAACTATAGGTTGATGCCACCTAAGAGTTTAACAGCAGGATGACTTCCTCAGGCCAAAGTGAAGAACCCAGACCAGATTTGGGAATAAAATGCCAGACAGCTCAACAAGATTTGGGCAAGCATGAATCTGACACCCAGGCCAAAGACCCTGGCCAACTAGGAGCACAGTTCAGGCAGGAGGTTTGAGACATTCGTGGCAACACTGATAAGAATGGAACTTGGTACAGGTCCAATAGCTCCTTGCAAACTCCCTTCTTAGATGCAGAACTGGCATCAAAGCGTAGGTCTGTACACATGGCAAGAACTGTGGAACAAGGAGAAGAACTGCATTCTGACAATTAGTCCTGTGCTGTGCAGTAGTAACAAGCCTGAAGAAGCCCACCAATGCAACCTAAGTTCCCATTTTAATCAGCCATACAGACCAAAATCATTAAAGCTCCACTTCTCTGACAAAGCCTGGACTGACTGCCAAAGAAATAATTTCAGTTGAAGAACAGTGTGAAAGTCACTAAGATAGTCTTCAAAACTGCTCTCAAATATTTAAAGGGATACTATGTAGAAAAGGGTTCAGAATTATCCTGGGTAACTCCAGAGAGAAGAATAAGAAGCAGTACTTATATATATTATGGGAGCAGAATTTCACAATATATATGAAAATCTTGGAACAATTAGAACTATCCAAAAGAGAATACACTGACGCTGAGACAGGGGATCCTCCCCTGCCACAACACCCTGCCCTTAAGCAGTAGTGAAACAAAAGCTAGAAACCACTGGTTGGTGATATGACAAAGAGGATTAATGCAACAAATACGGAGTCCCAGAGACTCATAAAGGAAAGAAACTGCTACTTTGTAGCAGCCAATATGCAAGGTCTTTCTTATATCCTTAAATCCTCCCCACACTACCCCTCTCCTCAAAAAAAATAAGAAGTTATTAGGTATCAGCTCCATTTTACAGACTCAAAAATCAGAATTTTCAGAACAAGATTACAAAGCCACCAAGGTAGGTGGGATTTATTTCCTTAGAGCTGTCTGCCTTTGGATTATTTTTTAAAATTCTACAACATTGCAGATATTACAGCCAACTTCTAATATAGTTTTATCAGTGCTACCAACAAACTGTCATCTTTGAGACAGTTGTCTCTAGGTCTTCAACAGGTAAACTTAAGGCCACTAACATGTGACAGCAGTTACAGAGGTCCAGAAAGGAAGGTGCTTTTTTTGAGTTAGAAAGGTTCAGGTAAACTAGTGGGGAGTTTCTGACTGGCATCTGTCTATAAATAAAATATACTCACTAAAGTACTTGACTATTAGTCACAACTTAAAGAAACTGACTGAATCCAGGGTCAGAAGAGATGGGTTAAAGTCCCAGTTCTACCACTTACTAGCTTGTGGCTTTGGGGGTGTCAGTTAGTATCTCTGAGTCTTTTTCCTCAGATAGAAAATGAAGAGGTAGAGTTGTACCATCTCCAAGAGCTCTCTCTGATTCCATAATCTTCACAGCAAACTTGAAAATTAAAAAAAAAATTCACGTTTCCTTATTTGCTTATGTACTAACCCATGGTTACCCCCAGCCCTATATGTTATCAAGCTAGAAAGCAAACCTCATGCAACTCACTGATTGGTTTCTCAACCCCTCCTTGCAGTGGTCATCCTGGTGATTCTATCTGGGCCCTAAAGACACAAGGGCAGATCTGGAGGCTGAGTAAATTGTGTGTCACAATCACTCCCAAACACTCAGTAGTTTAGAGTTTTGAACTTTGCTCTCCACTAACTAGTCACTCTATTCTGTTTGACTTGATCTGTAAACAGTGACTTTTCAGTTTCTGATTTAACAGCCTTTGCCCTGCAGTTTCCTTTGTCAACACCTTCAAGAGCATTGAAATACAAACTGCAATATTACTAGACTTTCACCAGTTTTATATAAATTATCTGTATGCCAGCTGGGCACGGTGGCTCAGGCCTGTAATCCCAGCACTTTGGGATGCCAAGACGGGGGGATCACATGGTCAGGAGTTCGAGAGCAGCCTGGCCAACATGGTGAAAACCCGTCCCTACTAAAAATACAAAAAACAAAAAAATTTAGCTGGGCATGGTGGCAGGCACCTGTAATCCCAGCTACTAGGGAGGCTGAGGCAGGAGAATCTCTTGAACCTGGGAGGTAGAGGTTGTAGTGAGCCAAGATTGCACCACTCCAGCCTAGGCGAAAGTGTGAGACTCCATCTCAAATAAATAAATAAATAAATAAATAAATAAATAAATAAATAATCTATATGCCTTCATGAACAGCAAGGGGAATAAGATCAACATCACTGCATTAGGTCACTGTCCAAGGGTTCCACCAGTGCCTGTTGCATGAGTAGGTATGGAATACAGACCTGATGCAGTAGTCATGAACAAAGAGAGCAGCAAAGACAGTGGCTGAGTCCTGGATCCAGTGAGACATCCTGAATTGGCAGAATGATCGAGAAAGTGCAGCAGCCCGGCCTACTCACCTTATGTGCAGCCAGCTACAAGGAAAGAGGTTTCTTTTCTTTTCTACTAATAGTTTTCAATAGATGATGAGGTCCCCTTTTTACAGTTTAGCTACATCTTCTAAACAAAGGGCAAACTTCATGACTGTGCAGTATGAAAAGCATGACTCAATCCCACAAGGATCCATAAGTCACCTATTATGCCATCTTAAAATATAAACATGAAGTCAGGTGTGGTGGCTCACACCTATAATCCTAGCACTTTGGGAGGTGGAGGAGGGCGGATCACTTTGAGCTCAGGAGTTTGAGACAAGCTTGGGTGACATGGCAAGACCCCATCTCTACCCAAAATACAAAAAATGAGCTGGGTGTGGTGGTTCGCGCCTGTAGTCCCAGCTACTGGGGAGGCTAAGGCAGGATTGCTTGAGCCCCAGAAGCAGAGGTTGCAGTAATTGAGATTGTACCACTGCACTCCAGCCTAGGTGACAGAGTGAGACCCCATCTCAAAAACAAACAAAAAAACCATGATTTTGATAATTGTACACTGGTCCTGTAGGAAAAGTCCCTGTTCTTCGAAATAACGAATGAGTTTAAGGGTAAAGTGGTACAATGTATACAACATACTCTCAAAATGGTTCATGGAAAAAAGATGTTTATGCACACGGGTGTGTGGGGAGACAGGGAGAGTGAGGAAGGCAGGGAAGGATGAAGAGAAGGAGAGAGGGAGGGTGAAGAGAATAAACTGTAAAGCAGGTGGGGCAACATATAAATAATAAGTAAATATAGGTAAAGGGCACATGGGAGTTCCTTGTACTATTCTCACAACTTTTTTGTAAGTTTGAAATTATACAAGAAAGTTGCCGCTAAGAGTCTCCTCAAAAGAAAGACAGCAATAAATCCCACATAATAAAATACGATGTATTTTTCTATTGTTTCCTTGACTTGTCACACACGAGGGCTGTAAAGAAACAGTTCTGCTGCATTAACTGTATTCTGAAGTCTACACCCTATCTATATTATAGTTGACTTGGGAAAATAAGGTTTCCTCTGACACATCCTAGGTAGGTACTTGCCATTTTCTTAAAAGTAAAAACACTGCAGGAATGGGGGAGGAAATGGGAAAAAGGCATGTCCAAGAAAAGGCCAAAGATCCCTGGCAACTTTTACACAGTAGGGAAATAAATTATGAGGTACAAGTGCATCTGGTTATATTTAAATCACACTATATTTTTATGGCTAACGAGGGTAATATCCTGAAGTTAAATAGTCTATATTACATTTCAGCAGATTTCTACAGAATGAAACTGGAGCTATTTTCAAAATATATTAGAGATGTTTTTTCTCAAGTTATGTCTCAAAAGGGAGATACTATACAGATGTGATTTCCCCAGAATTTCCGATGTGGTACTTCACCTGTAGTGATCCCTTGTCTTTAATAGAAAGAAACAAATAAATAATGAAAAATTATGACTATGTGCTCATTTTAGACAAAGCTGCTATGTTGCATTTGTTCAAGACGTGCACATTAATTTACCAATTAATATCTAAACATAATAAAATAAAGCCCACTAAAATTGAAGCACTCGTCTTTCGGTTATTTTTTTTTAAGTAATAGCCATATTATATGCCAAAATTTTCATATTAAAATTTTTACTTTGAAGGCTACAGTTGGAAAAACTTTGTCTGAGAAACATTAACTCTGTTCAACTTACCTTTGTCTGCTCTTTTCTAAGTTGCTTTAATAACGTTAAATCATCCAAATTCTTTTCTCTCTCTTCCCGGAGGTTTTTTACTACTGCTGAGGTCTGGGCTATACAATTTTTTATGACTCTGTCTCTACTGGCATGAGCTGCCATCAACTAAAGAACAAAGGAATGAAAGGAGAAAAAAAGTGCATCAATTTTCACATTTTAGTGCTTTTCAAAAAAGTTCTTGAGACTATACAAATTTAATACTTTCTAAAACAATTTCTGATGACTGAAACCATGAAAGAGAAGATTGTGTTGAATCAGCTACTTCATCTAAAAACATAACCGGCAGCATCTCTGAGGGTGGAAGGTATGAAGTCTGGGGCTGTCCTCCTCCTCGATATGCTCCCGGTATTGCCCTCGGCTTCCTGCATTCCCCACACTGGACTTTTCACTTCAGTTTCGTCTACCTTACACCACTGACTTTTCCTGTGATTCTATTCATGTGTTCCTCTATTCTACAACCACCCGCGCACACCTGGCCACTGACGGCTATTCTTCCTCTCTTTGTCCTTTCATATTTTTTTCTGTCTTACATTGTTAACAAGTGAAAGAAATTATAAACTAAGTCATGTATAGAAGATTTCACTACAATAAAGAATAACAAAGAATGCTACATTTACCTACGGAAGACAGAGCCCTTTTCAAGATTATAAAGTATAAGTACTGATAAGGAAAACTTATATATGAAGCACAGATTAGTAGTTGCATCAATTGTGTGTGCTGACTGAAATTAAGGATGTCTGACAGAGCAACTCTTTGATAACCTCCATCTTAATGCAACAAATTAATAAAAACAGTTCTCATTTATTTCCCATCTTGATTCATAAAGTATCATGGTCGTGTTTCAAACATACTTCCATAATCACAGCCACATTTTGATAATACCCCAAAATCTGCATTTGTAAAGCACTGTTTCAAGTTCATAGACTTTATTTTTCAGTACTGATGTTTATGTTTACCATGGGAATAAACAATGTAAAGCTAAAAAAAGTCACAGATTGAAGGGAATATGCTCTAATAAGATCTCATTGACATTTATAAGTTTTATCTTGAGTAACTCTTGAGATTTGAAATTTCTAAAACGAGTGCTTCATAATAACTTTACTGATCATCTCCTAGGAAGAAGTGCTATTTGAAAAGGCAAATATCCCTTCTTTAGCTATAGAAGGAAGCTGGGTCAGGGATTAAAGTCAGGGTGAATATGAGCAACTTGGACATTTCATAGAGTTCTGCTTCTTGACTGACATAATACTTAAGGGAACTCAGTGGTACTTATTGGTAATGGGCACTCTGCTGCAGGCTTGATCCCTGGCACAAAGCTACTTGAAAAATTAAGTTTTACTTGATATACATGTTGCTGAATCCTTCCAGGATAAAGATACAGGGAAAAACTCAAACACACACACAGGATTTCCAAAACAGAAGAGTTCTAAATTTAGTATGCAAGCTTATCCTGACTCAACAAGGAGATAAAAAATAACAACTTGTGACTCTCACAGGGCCTATTAAAAAAAATGATAGCAGCAGCAGCAAACATTTTTTGAGACAGGGTCTTGCTCTGTCACTCAGGCTAGACTGTGGTGGTGTGATCTTGGCTCACTGCAACCTCTGCCTCCTGGGCTCAAGCAATCCTCCTGCCTTAGCCTCTCAAGTGTCTGGGACTGTAGGCGCACGCCACAAAGCCCAGCTAATTTTTGTATTTTTTGTGGAGATGTAGTTTCACTATGTCACCCAGGCTGGTCTTGAACTCCTGGACTCAAGCGATCCTCCCACCTCAGCCTCCCAAAGTGTTGGGATTACAGGCGTGAGCTGCCGCACCTGACCAGCAATATTTATATACAAAACACTGAGTACTGTAGGCACTTTATAATTCAATGCGCAAACAACTGTATGAACTAGGTACTATTATTATACTAGTTTACAAATATGAAAACTGAGGCAGACAGCCAGGCATGTTGGCTCACACCTGTAATCTCAGCACTTTGGGAGGCCGAGGTGGGTGGATCACTTGCGGTCAGGAGTTCGAGACCAGACTGGCCAACATGGTGAAAACCCCATCTCCACCAAAAAATACAAAAAAAATTAGCCAGGTGTGGGAGCGTGTGCCTGTAGTCCCAGCTACTTGGGAGGCTGAGGTGCGAGAATCATTTGAACCCAGGAGGTGGAGGTTGCACTGAGCTGAGATCCTGCCACTGCACTCCAGTCTGGGTGGCAAAGTGAGACACTGTCTCAAAAAAAAAAAAAAAAAAAAAAAACAAAAAAAAAAAAAACCTGAGGCAGAGGTTATGTAACATATTCAAGATCACCTAGCTAGGAGGTAGCAGATGTGAATAATCTAGATCTAGAATCCATATTGTTAATCACTACACTATAAACATCTACGTTAACAGGAAGATTGTAAATGGAAACAATTTTACAGATTATGGAAGTTATATGAGTAGTGAGGTGAGAGGGAGTATCACCAAAGTGACCATAAATTTTAGTTCTTCAGACAGAGGTACCCAAAGAAAGTGAACTGTCTAACAGCCTCATAGCCAATTAGGACTAAGTCCCATACTATCGACTCTGGACACTGAATTCCACTCATTAAGTCCACAACCTTATGGTTTTCTCAAGCCACAAGACTTACCTGCTCATTTAAAATAACACACTTTAACACAGAACAAAAATATCAGTAGTTAATGCTCTGAATTTAACTGACATGGATAAGCTCGTCCAAAACTGATCTGAGAGAGGCAGTTTAGGTTTTAAGGATGCCTTCTTCATGACTATGAATCCAAACAATAACCTTGTGGTAGAACTTAAAACAGTAAGTGTCATTTGAACTTTAGCTTCTGCATTAATGAAAGAATATAGGTAAATAAACTATGAAAAAGATTTTGCTGCATCATTATTTCCTTCTGCTTTTGGAGATTAAAAAAGAGAAATAAAGGGGGGGCAATGAAAAAAATATACTTGAGAAACCAAAGCCTCAGGAAAGGACAATTGATCCATTGGTTTTCCTTCTCTCCCAGTTGCCAAATGCTTCTATTCCCCTTCCTGAGGAGTGAGAAAAAGAAGATTTAAAGGTGTGAAGGGTTTTAATTCTTCTTTATACCAGTTGTCTGGCTTTTTAGGACTGATGTACTCACAGTCCTTGCTCTTGTTACTGTCTTACTTCACTGTTTCACTCTCCTCTTTCATTCCTTTGTACATAAGGTCTCCGTGAGGTAAAGGCTGCAAAACAACTGCTCCCATTCTTTAGAACCATTTCTTCTCAGGTTTGGTAAGATTTCACAAGCATAAGGTCACACATTTTCTTGAATGTGTAGTAACCAGATCAAAACTTATATACACCATCAGGTATAGGCAAAGAAACCTGAAGATGTCATTCCTTTAGTCACAGCTGAGTTACAAGATAACTGATTTCTTATTCAGTCTGCAAAGAAAGACATGAAAGAAGCAAAAGACTCAAAAAATACACTTACAGACTCATAAAGTTGTTTACAGGTTTGGCTGGCATCAATTTTCCCTGCAAAGGAAGCTGTTGGAACCGTAGTGTTTAATTCATGTACTATTCTGTCATCAATTGTCCTCATCACCTTGAGTAATTCCTATATGTATTTAAAATAAAAGAATATAATCCGAATGGAAAGTTAGTGATAAAAAATAAGTATTTAAGTAAAAAATAAAGCTCTTGGATATTTTACAATCCTTTAAGTCAGGAGTGAGGAAACCAAGCCAAATACAGTGTAACCATAAGAAAATGTTCAAGGATGATAGGTAGGTTAAGTAATGGTAATTTTAACAGTGGGCACCAACTCTATATGACTGTCTTAAGAGTTAAGACTGTTTTACTCACGTTGAAATCCCGTTTGCTGGCATGGTGTTTAGCAAACAGTGTATGCTCCTTCCATCTCCAGCATACAGCCAATAAAGTATACTACTAGTTTTTACTTTTTCTTAGTAACCCTAGCTCATATGTTCCAAGGATCCCTCTTCCCTCAGAAAGCCTCCAATTCTCAAAAAAAAAAAAAAAAACCTAACAGAAAAATAATATCAAAAGGGCAGGGAACTTAAAAAGACTGGTACTAACTACCCACATAGCATAGCCCTCCTACCCACATGTGATCAGTGTACTTCTTTTCACTTGTCACTAGAGAAAGGCTGGACATCAGCTACATCTTGTCTTCAGTTAAACTCTGGGATAAGTTTCTGGCAGTATATCTTTCTCTTTCTTTTTTGTTTCTCAGATTTACAAAATATCCAAACAAGAACAACAACAACAACAAAAAACCCCAGTCACTTACAAAGCATCAAGAAAATGGCTAGGCACGGTGGCTCACACCTGTAATCCCAACACTTCAGGAGGCTGAGGCAAGAATATAGCTTCAACCCAGAAATTCAAGACCAGCCTGAATGACAGACATAGTGAGACCCTGTCTCTACAAAAAGAAAAGCTTTTTTAATTAGCCGGGCATGGTGACTCATGCCTATAATCCTAGCTACCTGGGAGGCTAGGGCAGGAAGATCACTGAGCCCAGGAGTTCAAGGCTGCAGTGAGCTATGATCACACCACTGTACTCCTGCCTGGGCGATAGTGAGATCCTGTCTCTTAAAAAAAGAAAGAATGAAAGAAAATAAAACAGAATTATATAATACTAGGAATACACTTATTATTGAAAACATCCAAGTTAACATTCAATATTAACATGTATTAAAAGCAACGTTTGATTCTTTCTCCCTCAATATACTATCCTACTTCTTACCTTTGCCAAACTTAAATCCATGACTGAAACCAATTCCTTTCTTTCCTCATCCATTTGTTAAAATAAAAATTCTTATTATGATTAAATTATTACTTTCATTTTAGAAAAGTTAGAAAAACACTTTAAATAAAAATCATCTATAGTTAACCATTATCAACACTTTAATATGTTCCTTTGGTCTTTTTTCTACACACACCTATTAATGTTTTTATAAAACTGAGGTACTATGTAACATTTTAAAATCTGGCTTTATGACATTATACTATGAGCACTCTGTTCTTGTTGCTAGAAACGTCTTGATTTTTTTTTTTCTTTTTTTTTTTTTGGGACGGGGTCTCACTCTGTTGCTTAGGCTGGAGTGCAGTGGCATGATATTGGCTCACTGCAACCTTTGCCTCCTGGGCTCAGGCGATCCTCCCACCTCAGCCCCTCAAATAGCTGTGACCATAGGCATGTGCAACTACACCCAGCTGATGTTTTTGTATATTTTTGTAGAGAAAGGGTTTTGCCACATTGCCCAGGCTGATCTCGAACTCCTGGACTCAAGCAATCAGCCCGCCTCAGTCTCCCAAGGTGCTGGGATTACAGGCAAGAGCCACCACACCCAGCCCCGAAGATATTTTAAATAGTTGCCTAAGTATTCTATCCTGTTCAAGCACTACAACTCATTTGGTTACTTTCTCTTTAATGAACATTTAGGTAGTTTCCAATTACAAACCACTTAGTCCGTTCAATCTAAGTCTGTAGTCTAGATTCTGTTCTATCATTCCATTAATTTTTAATTAGTGAATTTAATGGCCTTTTCTATACCTCAATCTAGAAGTGAAACAGCTTCCAGAAGGCTCATAATTCAGACTAATAAAACACTGGCAAATATCAGGTCTAAAACCAAGTTCATTATCTTCTCGTCCTGTATCTTTCTATCTTTTTAACAGTATTCTCTGTAAACTGGAATTCTTAAGGGATAATCTCAACATATTCACTGGGCAACCACCATACATAGTGGAGGATATATGTATTGTGCTTAAGTGGCAAATTCCAAACAAATGATGGTAGTACTATTTGGGGAGTCCAAAAAAAAAAAAAAAAAAAAAAAAAAGGTAAGTAGAAGACAGGGACCCACCTTGCCACTTTACCTCCTATGACTGGCCTATTAAAAAAAAAAAAAATGTCTCCTTTAAACTCTCCTTCAAAACCTTCCTTTTCACTTGCTAAACTGAATTGATCTTCTGAGGCCAAGGGTTAAGCTGTGCCTTTTGGATAGAGGTTTTCTTGGTTATAAAAGCCCTCAGCAATATTTGTCTTTAAATAATGCAGCGGTAAGAGAGAGTACCACAGAGTTCATTCATTTATTAACTCATTCTTCATTCAAAATATAATTACAGTCATTCCTTAGTATCCATGGGAGTTTGGTTCCAGGTCCTCCTATGGTTACCAAAATCCAAGGATGCTCAAGTCCCTGACATAAAATGGCACAATATTTGTATAAAACCTATCCACATCCTTCCATATACTTTAAATAAACTCTAGATTACTTATATCTAATACAATATAAATGCTATGTAAACAGGTGTTAGTTATACTGTAGTGTGTAGGGTATAATAATAAGAAAAAGTCTGTACATGTTCAGTATGGATGCAACTTTTTTTCCAACTATTTTCCATCCACGGTTGATTCAATCCATGGATGTAAAACCCATAGATATGGGAGGGCCAATTGTCCTATGTCTAGTATGTGTCAGGCACTATTCAAAACATCAAGGCCACAGTAATGAATAAAAGAGGTCCTTGCTCTTATACAGCAAAATTCCTGAAGGGGGAGATAGAAATGAAACAAGTATCCTATAAACAAGATAATCTCAGGTACTAAAAAGTACTATGAAAAAGAAAACAAACTAAGGTAACGAGATGAAGAGTGACTGAGTGGTGCTTGGGGGCTACTTTAGATAGAGAGATCAAAAAAGGCTTTTCTGAGGATGTAGCATTTAAGCTGAAACCTAAATGACGTGATTGAACCAACTATAGGAACATTTGGGCTGGGGGTGGTGGCTCATGCCTGTAATCCCAACAATTTGAGAGGCTGAGGCAAAGTAGGAGGATTGCTTGAGCTCAGGAGGTTGAGGCAGTGGTGAGCCATGATTGCACCACTGCACTTCAGCCTGGGCAAATACACAAAAAAACTAAGGAGAGGTAGTTGGATATATTTTGAAGACAGATACATCCAACTGTTGGGTATATTTTGAAGACAGAGCTAACAGAAATTGCTGAATTGGTGGTCAGGGACGAGAAAAGAAAATAGGATGACTTTCAAGCTTGAGGCCTAAGCAACTAAATGTATGGAAATGCCATTAACTTATGGTGATGGGAGACTGGGGAAGGAAGAGACTTGGAAAGAGTGGGAACATCAAGAATTGTATTCTAACTCAGGCTGCCTGATGATTACTGTTCATTGTTTGTATGTGGTAATGGTATGGTGTTAGAAAGTCATAATCTCTTGGAGATACAGTCAGAAATTTTACAGAAAAAATGGTATGGTATTTGGGATGACCTCAAAATAATCAGATTAGGGTGGGGTAAGTGGTAGTAGCGAACAGATGAAACAAGAGTGGCCATGAATTGGTTGTTGAAGTTGGGGAATGGGTACATGAGTGTTTGTGGTACAGCCTCTCCTTCTGTGTTATGTTTAAAATTTTGTAGAATAAAACTTTTTTTTTTTTAAGTTCTGTTGTGGCAACAGATATTGGCGTGCATGCGGAGAAAAGGGAATGCTTATACACTATTGATGGAAATGTAAATTAGTACAACCTCTATGGAATACGTGGAGATTTCTCAGAGAACCAACAACAGAACTACCATTTCACCCAGCAGTCCCACTACTGGGTACTTACCCAAAGGAAAAGAAATCATTATATAAAAAAAGACACCTAGAGGCTGGGTATGGTGGCTCATGCCTGTAATCCCAGCACTTTGGGGAGGCCGAGGCAGGTGGATCACGAGGTCAGGAGTTCGAGATCAGTCTGACCAATATGGTGAAACTCCGTCTCTACTAAAAATACAAAAATTAGATGGGTATGGTGGTGCGCACCTGTAATCCCAGCTACTCGGGAGGCTGAGGCAGGAGAATCTCTTGAACAAGGGAGGTGGAGTTGCAGTGAGCCGAGATTGTGCCACTACATTCTAGCCTGGGCAACAGAGTGAGACTCTGTCTCAAACAAAAACAAAAAAAGACACTTGGACTCATATGATGATTACAGCACTATTCACAGCAGCAAGCTAACTGTCCATCAACAGTTGACTGGATAAAATGTAGTGTATGTATACACACATATATATGGAATACCATGCAGCCACAGAAAAGAATGAAATCATCCAGGCGTGGTGGCTCACGCCTGTAATCTAGCACTTTGGGAGGCCGAGGCAAGTGGATCACCTGGGGTCAGGAGTTCGAGACCAGCTTGGGCAACATGGTGAAACTCTGTCTTTACTAAAAATACAAAAAATTAGCTGGGTGTGGTTGTGGGTGCCTGTAATCCCAATTACTTGGGAGGCTGAGGCAGGAGAATAGCTTGAACCCGGGAGGCAGAGGTTGCAGTGAGCCAGATCGTGCAGCCTGGGCAACAGGAACGAAACTCTGTCTCAAAAAAAAAAAAAAAGAAGAAAAAGAATGAAATCATGTCCTTTGCAGCAACATGGATGGAACTGGAGGTCATTAAGTGAAATAACTCAAAACAGAAAATCAAATACCAAATGTGCTTGTGTATAAGTGGTAGCTAAACAATGGTGCATATACACATAAAGATGGAAAGAATAGACATTGGGGACTCCAAAGGATAAGGGGAAGGAGGA